AAGAACATCCACGAATAGACGTGGTGTCACTGGAGGCAGAGACAGAGTTTCCAAACATTGAGCTGGAGGAAAACGTGCTTGATTTCGGGTTTATTGTGAATGAGACAACAAAGAGAATTCCCCTACGCATGAGAAACACCAGTGGAGTACCGGTGACGTACAGCTGGTTCTTGACAGACGCTTACTCAATCGATGACCTCAAATGTACAGCAACACGTAGTTCAGCACGGTGCGCCGTGGGCTTCGGGCCGTGCACTTCCCTTTTGAAAATTCAGCAGTAGAAAAAGAAAGCAGTTGGAGGAAAACTGTGTCATTCCTGCAGGCGCTGAGAATAATGAACCCGTGGAATCAGAAGGCTCCTCTATCTCCATCCATAAAGTCTTCGATTTTGCACCTTTTACAGGAAGTATTGAGCCAGGTGCTTCTGAAACAGTTAATGTCCGATATTGGGGGCTACCTAATCACGAGGTCTCCGCTGTTGCCTTGTGCAGCGTGAGTCATGGACCTGAATACCCTGTGCGCCTCATAGGTACGCAACTTCAGGGCAGGCATTCAATTGAACCAGACTAATTTTGTAATGAAGGACATAGTGGATGCACCTGTTTAAAGTGTAGTGTCAGAATATTTGATAAATTAGGGCTTTGCCATTATTTACGTGCCTTGAGTGGTAGGCCGTGCCTCGTTTCCGCGCTTGAGGGTCAGCCAGACTGAATTCGATTTCGGCGAGGTGCCATACCTCAAACCGGTCACTGCAGAGGTAAATTTGATGAACGGCGGATACGTTGATCTTAGCTTTGCCGTTGACATGGGACGCGTTACCAGACCATGGAGCATTGAGGTACCGAAAAGAGAGGGGCTTATTAGGGCAAATGAAAAGATGAAGCTCGAAGTAAAATTTATTGCGGGCAAGTAGTACTGCTCGAGGGAATCCCATTAAAAGACTTTTTCCCTTCCTATCCATAAAACCTGTCACTGTGCTTTCGAATGACTCAGAAATCGATCGAATAACTGACCAGACCAGTATATGTGTGAAACTTTTTGCTTATGCGTTTCCCATTGCAGGAATACCAGATGAAGTTATCGAACAAGTCTTCGTGGAAGTCGATCACTGTGACCCTATTGCTGTCACGCTTCGCGCCAGAGGAACGTATCGATGCCTTTTAATGGGACTCCCTCGAGCACCTGATGATAGTGATTCCGACAAATTAGACCAGAGTAGGTGTTGATCCCTTTCAAAAAGTGCAGTCTGGGCGCTGAGTTGCTATATCGAAATACAGCGGTTCGTAGCATTCCTCCGTCCTAAAATTACCATCGCTCCGTTTATCTGCTCTCTCGCGATGTATGCATTTGAAGCAGATGCCTGTACTTCCGTCGAAATAGCGACGGCCTTGCCTACTTGGCAACAAGCGGCAGAGATTGATCGGCAGAGCCTCTGCAAAATAATGCTCGAGTATTACAACAGAGTACGCTGCCGAACGTCACTTGCTGGTTAGTTTTCACAGACTACTGATACTTCTCTGGGGAACGGCGGAAATTTTAGCTGCTTTTGAAAAAGTTCTGAAGGCATTGATTGTGCTGTGGTGCAAGGCTACGATGTCGACGTCCAGGTGTAACTCAGGGCAGTGTACTGTGGATTTGCTGGACATTCCCAGTACTGGGGAAAATGACAAGAGGACCGTTAAGCAGACTTCCAGCTCATCTTTATGTGTGAGGCTGGTAATTAGCTTGATACGCCAAATTATAATAATCAGTGCTGACTGGGTTGAATTACAACGTGCAAGCCTAATGCGCGTTCGTTAGCCCGCCTTCAAATGGATAACATAGCTGCAAGCCAGGTGAAGGAACCTTCTTAAGGAACATTTATTGTGATTCCACTCTCAGTCAGCAACGATTTCGAATTTTCGGCTTACGGGGGAGGAACGAGCTTTCGCTGCAACTCCTGGGAAATATGTGCTTGACTTTGGAAGCGTTGTCGTCGGCCAATCGAAAACAAGAGTAGTGCAGCTGCGCAATGCTTCTTCCCAGGCGTATGGAGTCAAGATTAATAAAAAGGTTGGAAAAGATGCTTAGGCTTGGTAGATGCACTTGTTCTGGCAGCAAACACGAAATCTGGCAGCCTGTCACAACAGCAAACATAATTGCTTTTCAACAATAAGACGCTTATCTTCTCTGCAATATGCGCCCTGTGCTTTTATATCTTATATTTATTGTATATTTGACTTCGTAACTTCCCTCTTTCTCTTCAGGATTTGTCTGGAACTGGGTTTTGTGTGGAGCCAGAAGTGATAAACCGTCTGCAACCCAAGGAGAAGACGACAATTACTGTCACAGCCAAGCGGGATAAAGAAGAAGATGCTAATGTCCCACTCACGGCCTTTGTTTCAGGAAACCTTAGCTACCAAATAATTCTTAAAGCCAAATTCGTTGTGCCCGACCTTTCCTTGTCGGCAGACACACTTGACTTTCAAAGCATCAAAAGGGGTGAGGCGCACAAGGCACAAAATAACTTCTCTGGTCCTGAGAAAAGAATTTGCAACAACTTTATTATCCTGCTGGCCACCCAATCAAGTTTCATGTTTCGAAAAACAGAAAGCTTGAGTAGATTGCAGTAGAGTAAGGAAGGTTACTCGCCAGGCCATAGTTTGTCACAGTTTCCGCCATAATTTGCGTCATGCGCATATGCCTACATGCTAACTCTTGGGACAAGATATAATCTGGGGAAGACTGCTTTAGGCAGTGACAGCGGTGTATTCTGCTATCGCGGTGACTCAGGATTCCGCAAAACAGTGACGTTGAGACTCCGCAATGAAAAAAGCGTGCCTGCTCAGTGGCGGTATCGGGACACGGTTGACAAGGGTGATAAGGCCCAACGTGAAGCTCTTAGGTGCTTCAGAGTTGAACCGAAACAGTCGGTTGTTGAACCAGGTGTGCCTGCATCTGAGCACGCCTTGAGAACTTTGATGTCATAAGTATGCGGCAAAATATTTTCCGATGCATGGCTCATGCTGCGTGAGTATCTGGAGAAAGCTTGAGCAACACCCTTTTATTTCCTCAATTCAAAAGATTCCATAGCAGCAGTTGCCTTCAGGTCAGTGGATTGACTTGAAGGTCCACTTTTCCCCAGAGAAAGCTGGCGACGAAGTCTGTGCTCGACTGATTTTCTGCATTGAGGACAACCCTAAATGGAAATGTGTAGTAGCAAGAGGGGCTCCGGCGCTTCCTTGCCTGGAATTCGTTCCTTCCCTTGTGGATTTTGGATACAGCCTCCCTATGCACACACTGCGGCAAGAAGTAATACTCCGAAATAACTCCGACGAGCCCTACGAGATATTTTCTCTGGAATTCGACGATTTGTACAGGCAAACAAATGCCTTGCTTCGCGAATTCGATGGTTTCGATGAGTCGGGGATCACCTTGTTGCCTGTCAGGTGCTATTCACGACAAGCAATGCATGCTTAATTAAGTATTACCCACACAAGGATATTTGGCATACTATCAATCTTTTGAGTGTGGCGGACTTATAACTGTAGTCTCCAGACAAAATACAGCTGTTCGGCTCGAAACGTCGACGGGACGTTCTTTCCCTGCTTTTCTTGATTTCACTTGCTGTGTAGCAATGTTATGGCCTCTTTCATCGTTCAGTCCAAGCGGGCTAATCCTGGGCTTTGCACAATAGCATAGGACTCTCCAATGCTCTGCAGGCTTTTCCGTATGAGCTCTTGTCTGCTTGCGTTCAGGCCTCCGGGAAAGCCCTGTTGGTCTAGAGTGCGCAGAGCTGCAATGAGAAAGGCTCTAAATGCCGCTACTAATAGAAGGGAATCAGATGGGACTCTGACAAAAATTGAAACCCCTAATAGCGCACGAGGTGGGCTCCAAGGTATCACAAGGGAACCTGAAACCGAACAAAGTCAACAGCTGGAAATAAGCAGCGACGAATCTGATTACGAAGCTCCTCAAGGGTTTCCTTATAGAGTTTTGCCGCCATGCAGGTGAGATTCACAGTCTTGTATCAAAATTTTGCCTGCCTAGCAAATCTAATGATTGGGCCTGCTCTAGAGATAAGTGGACAGACCATCAACGGGCAGGCCACTAGTTGCTTCTTCATGGCTTTAGGGATCAAAATGGAATTGGGATTGGAGAAAAAAGGTTCGAAAGATAACTAGGCGGATGTGAGTGCATGCTCAGGCAAAGTGCGATAATCTTGGGCCCAATCAGCAGTGGGAAGCGCCATGTTGCAGCGTACATTGGTGGTGAGATGAGGAAACAGTTAACCCTTGATGAATGCGTAGATTGGGCCTTATCTGCTGCCGGAAAGAAAAATAAGCTTCGAGGGGCTGGTGCAGAGAACGCGAGCGTTATTGAAGAGATGATTAAGCTTCTTGAAGTTCAGGAAGGCGATGGAGAAGCAACGGGCGGCAGAAGAAGTAGGGTGGCAGTTGCTTGCTGCGTTCCAACTGTTTACAATGTTTGCCACAGACAAACTGCGGCAAAATACTACTAGCAACATTCCACAAGGAACACCTACTAATTTAAAGTTTTCCAGCATCTTACGCGCAAGTAGAAAGGCCCTGAATGCAAAAAAAAATCTACTGTGTTATCCAGACAACAAGGCAAGGCCCGGAAAAGCCGACCGCCGCGCAGAAGGCACCAACCCAGGGCTTCCACTCCACTGTCTCACGGCAGCAGTAAAGCTTCGCGTAGCACAGCCTGACTGCTTTGCTGGGACAGTTTTTCGCGTTGAGCCAAGCTCGTATTGTCCGTCGATTGCAGATGGAGCAGTTTCCATTGCCAGAGGTCTTTCTAATGAAGACATTATGGTTGTTATTGTGAAGGTGAGGCTACAGCTATAAGGCTTGTCAAAAGCATGCAAGGTGTGGATATAAATTACTGATACGGGAATTTCATACCTGAAAGAGTAGTACTCCAGCTATTGACAGAACTGCGCCTTCTAACCGACCACTGTTTTCTTGCTTTGAATGTCACAGTTCGGACAGCCAGCAATGTCTCACCGCGAAGGCGAGTCAGCGCACAATTTAGTTGCAGATGGCGTGGCGTTTTACCGGGGACTTTTAATGAAACAGCTTCAGCGAGAACGTGAAATAATGGAGCAACTAGACTGTGGCCAAGGTTCAGCGTCTGCGTCAACGTCGGATTCCAGACGCAAACGACCGCCAAGTGCCTCAGAGGGGGAAAATTCTCAGTTGCCCTTACATGTTACGGACGAACTTACGGAGTCATTGAAGCAAGAGTACCACGTTCTTCAACAGTCGCGCCAGAGAATTGAAGCATACCTAAGCTCGACCAGAGCGGCACAATCATTTGTACAGGATCAGATCTCGGCTTACTCATCTGCAGAGAACGAAATGTTGAAAGAAGCCAAGAATGAAGTGGAAGAGTCCTCAGCTCCTGCCTCTTCTTGTAGTAATTCAAGAAGGGGCAGTCGCAAGTCGTCTTTAGGAGCACCATCTCGCGTTATCACATTCTCTTCGGGGTATGTGAGCTCAGCGCTACCCATTGAGTCGCTCCTTGGACAACTGCAGCTTCTCAGAGAGCCAATTATCCCAAATGAGCCGCCGATACCGGTTCCAGACATCCAGGAAGTCGTTCATTACCCTCCTCGCTCACTTGAAGTGGAACCCCCATCGAAGCTTCTGTTATTAACACCTCTCCCTTCTTCCGCGCAAGAAAAGTCTGAAGAAGATGAAGTGAGAAACAAGTCGAGGAGAGCAAGAGATTCAGGACAATCAACCAATGCTCGGTCAAAATCCAAGCAAGACAGAGGGTAAGAGCAGCAGCTAGTAAGCTTCTGCGCAGTTACAAGATAATGCCGTAAAACACCGATAATGTCTCTGTAGTACAGTATTACAACTATCATGCCGCAGGCATTCAAAATATTGGTGCTTTCCTGTCGCAAAATACTCACTGTCAAATGTCCTTGGAAGAGTCCTTAACATTGAGTGAATGAACTGTGCAGCGGAGAAGAAGATGGATTACTTGCACGATTGGCAGTGGAGCCAGGGTTCATGAAGGTAGCAAGGTGGATTTTGCAGCCTCAAAGCGAACAGAGGTTTCTCCTTAAGTGCTTTGTTGATGAAGAGGGAGAGTTTGCGTGCACTCTTCACTTTTCTGTAGTTGGCGACCCCGAAATATTTCGGCTTGAAACAAAGGCCACCTGTTCTGTACCGAGGCTTCTGAATTTTCCCGAAGGATTATTTGAGCGTAGTGTGCAAGAGAGGCCAGCTGATTGTGGTTTGAAGAAGACATACATAAGCGACGAGGTGAATATGCACTTCGGCCTGCTCAAAGAGATTTTGAGAATCACGCCTCCACCTAAATTTCAGCCAGCCCAGTCACTGCTGCAAGTGTTTGTGGCAAGACCGAATTTCTTGCACCATGGTGCTGAATGATAAATATACGCTAGGAACCGTGACAAGGTTTTTACAAACCTTTTGGGGAGCCTGTAGAGTGTTACGAATAGTTTTGAGGCTCTGTCCCGTAGCTTAACTTACGAAACGTGCTTGTAGTACCTTACACCACCCTTCGCGAGTTCTTAAAAAATGAACCGTTGCACCTCCATAAGGCTTGCAAGAAGAATAGATGGGGCAGGCAATAGCAGACTCTAAAAAGTGCTTGGCATCACCTTGTATGAGAACTCGATTTACGACACAGGGCGTCTTTGATTGGGGGGAGCTTCTCTCTGGGCGTTCGACAGCAAATGTCAAGTCTCTGTACTCCAAGGTGATTCCGGCTGAAGAAATAAACATTATGCAAATACCCCCAGAGCTTTTGGACTTCATGACCTCACTTACATTGAAGAACGGGTCGCCGTTCACAACTACCGTGAAGGGGAGCTTTGCTGGAGGAACTAACACAGATGGAGGTGAGGTGATTAGAAAACTTTCACATAAATTATTTCAATTTCATTCGTGCGAGCTCTAAATAGATGTCAAAATACGCTGCTTGAATAGGTGATCGCAATGTGTGCGTGCCTCGTCAGAAAGATTGAACGTTCCTGTAAGCTCCCGCAAAATACCTACCAATATATAAGAGTTTTAATAAGTAACAAGGGTGCTGTTATTCAGTTGAGGCGATGAGGAGTCGTAGGCCTCCCAAAGGTCAAGCAGGCGATCTTGCTTTTTCATTATTTCCTTCTGAAGTAACGCTCCCACCTAATGGAACAGCATGCATGCACCTGTGGTGTCTACCCAAGTACGAAGGCGAGGTTGCAGACAAGCTAATCTTGAGCGTATCAGACAATCACCAGCCGCTTGAGGTAAAGCTTTTGTCTCGCTGCATAGCCCCTAAAATATGCTTGCAAACAGACAGCGTCGCGTTCGGAAGAATACTCGCGGGCCACACTGCAAAGCGGTTAGTCGTTTGGCGAAAACAACAGCACATTAGCATTCTTTGGCAAAATGCTACTAGCCCGAACGCCCTCTTCTTGTTTCCCGTGACTTATGAACAAGCCACTAACAGTTCATTTGTGAGGGCTTATAAATATTATCCAGACTACAAAATTCATGAATCCTTGAAGCCTATCCAAGATTTGCGGCGACGTACTTGAAAGCAGGCTTCTCGTCATGAGAAAGATTGGCTGTCTTTTTGAATTTTAATACGCTCAGGAGGATCTTAATTGAGAACCCGACTGGTTTTGCAGTGCGATGGAGCTTTTCTATTCAAGAAATACCAATAAAGTGCTTTTCGTTTGACCCGGAGCAAGGGGGTACATTGGAACCATATTCCAGCCAGCCGCTTGATATTTCCTACGAAGCCTCTCTGAAGGCTTCTACTGCGCAGTGCCGTCTCACTTTTAAGTGTAGTGATGCTGAAGGAATAGCCAACAGCTCTGAAGTGAAGTTCTTGGCAAGTGAGCAGCAACTACATCAGACAGCAAAGCCTTTTTTCAGCTTAACCGGTCTCATGGCATTGCTCTGGGCTGTTCTTTCCATTGTGTCAATACTCATTACTTAGTGATCAGCAACAAGTCAAGTTGACCTCATTGCACTACCGTTTGAAACTAGGAAGTTGCGCAAGGGAATATACCGGCAGTTTTCAAACGGGAACCACGTTGCTTCTAATGCTACAGCACTGCAAGCTTTTAAAACTCATGACACTGTGATAATCTTTGTGTTTCCTCGAATAGTTTCGGCAGAACCATTTTGCATCGATGCGGGAATCGAGCTGCCATCAAAAACGCGTATTCTCGATTTCGGTAAGGTGCAAGCGTACCAAGAAGCTGAGATACCCTACACTATCTTCAACAGGGGGAAATACAGCATCCGCTTTGATGTCAGGTAAGACTGCTTACATGAATGTGGCGAAAAACTTTCACTCACCATCCCTTTTCCCCACATGAACTCCCAACAGAAACACCGGCCACTATACACTTCAGTCAGTATTCGGCGATTTCGAGACGTTCCTGCTAAGAGAGTTGCTTCCTTGTGTTCTGCCTGTGCACCACAAGAAACTATGACTGGACATACTTGGATTTCAACACGTTCCTTATAGCTTGCTGCTCGCTCAAATATAGAGAGTCGCTCAATCTATTCTCAACCTTTTTGTGTGATCTCAGCGTGAGCAGCCCAACGCTTCGAAGCTTGCTGACGTTAAGTCCCCAGCGAGGGGACATCAGGCCAGGGGAACAACGAACGTGTGTTGCACGCCTTAGCTGCCCTCACGAAGTTGAGCTCACAGGCACAGAAGAACTTGCAGTCAGTATCCAAGATAGTGACTCTGGCTGGCAGCTAGAGCCGCCAATCCAGCCACTTCAAGTCATGGCGCTAGTAGCGTTCAACGAAATATCATTATCTCCCCCTCGGGGCCTCAATTTTGGCCCAGTGGAAAGCGGAAAAACAAGCGCATTGTAAGCCGTATATTTAAACCTGAAATTCTTAAATTTAAGATTGGATAGAAGCTGTAGAAAAAGACTTTTTCTGGTCTGGCGGTATCTGGCAGTACATGCGGGGAGCGTTTTGTCACAGAAGAAGAACCTAACTTGAGGACAACGCTCTTTTAGTGTTTGAGATAGCCAGAGACAAGCTATTTCGCTCACTGTGTTTCCAGGCCTGTCGTGCTGGAGAACAAGGGTCGTTTTACATTCGAGTGGTTCCTGGCTAACCAGGACTGCATTTTCACTGCTCCCGAAGAACCAACACGTGGAGCTGAAGCCGTTCAAAAGGGAGAGAAACCAAAACAGGGGAAGCCGCAAAAGTCTCAAGGAAAGACTCCAGAAAAGTTTCCTGGGGCAACATTTGGGCCATTTAGGGTAGTCCCCGTTCGCGGCCAACTGGAACCTGGGACAAAGGCGCTTATCCAAGTCGAATACAATGCACAAGGAGATGAATCACACTTGCTCAATCTGGCATTGTTAGTAAGACTTACAGGCATCATACAAATAGTGCGTGTGTAGTGTTTTTGCTTCAAGGCGCAGCTTAGTATGCCTCTCATCTTATTCTTTAAGTCCATGATAGTCTCAAAAATTCGATATGGTGTGCACCTGCTCAGGTCAATGGTGTGAAGGTCGATCAAGGTGGCAATGTCTCTGTTAGCTCTATTGGACCTATCGCTGCATTTTTTGCTGATCCGTTTTCACCAATAGATTTTGACGCCTACGGTCCCATCAAGCCAGCCGCAACTTACTTCATTCAAGGCCAAAGCAGCATTCCAAGCATAAGTCTCGAAGTGAGTTAGAGCCAAACGAAGACAGAACTCATGACTGCGCAGATGATCTGTAAAGCTAACGCATCGTAGCCTATATTGCTAGAAAAGTGCCGAAATGATCAATCTTGAGCGGTTCCAAACCGTTTTTAAAGGTTTGTGATGCTTTCAAGCAAAGAATCCGTATGCCAGCAAGAGTAGTTACTGACAAAAAAGAAGCCTATCAAGTGCAGATTTTTACCACCACATAGATTTTGCTGTAACTGTTGTGTGCAGCCAGAGCAGCTCTTCCACGAACAGGAAGTAGTATCTACGATGGATGAGGCATATGCAATCTGGAAGAAACGCAGCGGAACAATTTTCGTGGAAGAAGAGAACAGTCTGTGTTTTGGACCGGTCATTTGCGGCCTGCCAGGATCAACTTCAGGCGTTGTTGAAGCGATACGGATAGACAATCCACAACTTATTCCTGCAGAAATAGTATTTGAAATTAAACAGGCCGCTAAAGGGCTTCATGAGAAAAATGCAAGTAGAACGTTCTCCAGAAGCTGACAAGGGTTCAAGTTGCTGCTGAGGAGTCCGCAGATCCTTTCCTTCTCCAGGGGCGTAGATATTCGGCACCCCCCAAAACATTTTTCTAGTGATTTTGCTTGCTCTTTGTGCAGCAAGTGACGTTGGACGACTGCCCATTTGACGTGGAACCAAAGCGTATAATTGTTGCTCCTCATGATTATGCATATGTGATGCTATCTTTCAAGCCAACAGCCTTGCAGCAGTACAGCTGCTGCTTGCGAATCGCGGTCGAAAAGTCTGCGAACTCGCTCTCTGGGCAGGCCCAGTTCGATCTACGTGGCGAAGGAACTCTCCCAAGTATAACATTCTCCTTTCCAGCTTCTGTTGCTCAAAGGGACGCGAGTACGTTAATTCGCCGTTGACACATCACGACGTGTTCTTGACAGCAGCAAGTGCAAGGACGTGGCAGTTGTCTTCAGAGTACAGACATGTGAACCAAGCTATTCGCTGTCAGTTCACCAGAACCAGAGGGTGTGTTGTGTCAATTCAGAGCCAAAGAGCCACCTGCCACACTTTGATTTCGGGCGGGTCGCTGTTCACCGGACCGTGGCAATTCCTGTTCTATTCAAGAATGAAGGAGTAGTTCCCGCAACAGCCCGGCTGCTGCTTCCAAAATGTGACTTCGTCGATTTCACCATGCCCCACTCACTCACTCTGATGCCAAAAGAAGAGCGTACCTTTTCTGTGGGTCCAGCGCACCCCAGCCGTGTGAACTGATAGCCGCGCTTTATATTACACTTCTTCACTTCTCCAGCACAGAGTAATGTATCAAGGACAGTGCACTGCCTACGCTCGCTTGTAAAGCTTTTGTTCCCGTTATTGCCAAGATTTTGAGCTCCTTTACTGTCTCAGCTAGCTTACCGGCCGCAAACGCCAGGAGACTGGGAATACAAATTTCGCATCTCGACTTATGCCAACCCTTTTGAAAATGTGGACATTCACCTCAAAGGTGCAGCTTTTACAGAAGAGCTTATTTGGTCTGCAGTACCTCCGCCCAACCAAGGTGACCCGAATACTAATGATGGTGAACTCCTTGATGGAAATCATCTCATGCTCAAGGAAGTCCCACTCGGAGAGACAGCTGCACAAATTCTTTCGCTTCGAAACTTGTCAACACAGGCCATCTCATTCGAGCTAAACGCTGAGTCTTTGGGTCAACTAAAAGACGTATTAGTCCTGGCACCAGCAATAGGGACGCTCGCTCCAAACGAAGCATGCGACGTCTCTATTGCATTCAGAACTGAAGAGGCTCTCAGTGTTTCTCGCCACGCGATCACCTTTTCAACTTCATATGCGCAGTGTCTCCAAAGTAGTATGACCGCACCAAAGCCTGCTCCAAAAGCTAAGGGGAAGGGCAAGAGCAAGCAAAGCGAAGCTAGAATAGACGGGGCAACTGTAGGGAAAGAAGACCCAGCGCACCCGGAGGAACTACTACTTTACATATCAGCCGCAAGCGATTTTCGACAATGCGAACTGAGCGTCTCACGGATTGACTTCGAAGATACAAGCCTGTTAAAATCGCGCGTATTCTTTTTTATGGTGGTGCGTGGAATTGACTTGAATGCTCTCCAAACCGTAAAGCTCATTTTTGCGCTGAATACCAGCGTTTTGTAAATACTGTACGTCTGTGTAAAACACATAATGTAAAAACTTGTGGTGCATTTTGGGCGCAGAACAATACCTCTGCGGTGTCTTTACCATATGAACTTTTTTTCGAGCGGGACAGTCAACGTGATGATCCTTGCTTTTATAAATTAGCACCTTCTCGCGGCTGTATTCCTGGTGGGGGTCAGCAGGTGAGATCTTTGTCGGTGTACCGGCAAGTGAAGAATGTGGGGCACAATTGCAAGTGCTAGTGAACGATCATGGAGATCACTTTTGTGGCAATGCACACTTTTGCCTGATGGCACTTTAGTACTAGAGCTACCAAGAGTAGGCTGTATGATGCTGGAAGGCAAGCCAGGAAACTACAAGAGAATTTCCTTCTCTCTTCGCAGCAAGTGCAAATAACATTCTCTCCCAAAGATATAACGGATTTCAGCAGGAACCTCGTCTGCGAATTCCCGAACTTTCTCCACGGATCATCTCGTGTTTCGGTGCCAGTTTACGCCACTGCTATTCGACCGATTTGTCATATAGAAATACCGCCAACGGACTACTTTGAACGCCGCCCACAGAACGCTACTCTTGCACTCGACGATAATGTAGCGGTGAGTGCCTCATCAGGAATCCTACAGAGTTCGCAGCAATGTTTTGCTTCAACGAGTACTGGTGTAAAGGCTTTTGGTCATTGAAGGGGAAAAGTGGAAATGTAGCATAATATCGCTTTACACACAATGCGTGAACTGAGTAATGCGTCTCTCTGATTACGCAAATGCACGTCTGGGCGGTTACAGGTTGTTGAGATTGAGGGCATCGGAGTTGGTGTACGACATATACGCCGCATATACGTGCACAACCCAACGGCCAACGATGTTGACTTTGAGTGCGAACCAGCACATAGCCCTGATCAAATCGCAGCAACTCCTAGGGCCGAGGATTCGCCAATGCAGCCAATGCAGCCTTTCAAATGTATGACGCGCCGCGGCCGTATTCTCGCTGGTCGAAAGACCGAACTCATCTTTGAATACAGCGCCACACAACCTGGTGTGAGCGAAAGACTCTGGGCATTCTCAATACCTTGTATGTAAACAGTAAGGGTCTAAAAAGCGATATAAACCTACTAGCTTCCCGCTTTATACTAACAAGAATCCAATTACGAGCTCTGTAAGAACGTAAAAGGCGCTTCTGTTAAGCGGAGCACATCGTGATGAATTAGTGGACCAAACGGGGCATGGAAATCGAAACAGCCTGAGTGGTAGCTTTTCAGTGGTTTCTTGGATGGATTGTGCTGCGGGCGCTCAGCAAGGCAACTGGTACAGATGCTGCTACTGGTTGGGAGGACTACAGAGCCACGCGTTGCATTCGAAGTATCTCGAATAATCTTTCCGCCTACGATGACTGGGAGGCTTGTTCAAGAAACAATCATTCTGCGCAACCAAGAATCCATTCCGATAACTTTCCAATTTGATCGGTGGGCGGCACATCCTTGTAAAGGAAGCTTTCACTACACTACAGGGCTTTCCATGACATCTGAGGGGTTCGGCAAACAGTTTGTCTGAGCACGTAATAGGTCCAATAAAATAAAAAATTTGGTTTGAGAAAACCACTAAATTTAATTATTGCTGCCTGGACAGACGTGCTTTTCGGGGAACTCGCCTTTATTTAACTACATTTTTCTCCACCACTTGCTTAGCCTAGTTTACAAGCTTCCTTCGCCCCACCTGAGAGACAACGGCGTTGATTCGTTCGGCCTTTGCTGTATCCCGTTTTAGCGCTCACCTAAAGGACACTGGATCGGAGCTGAAAATAATGCCACTTAGTGGTAGTGTGGGTCCGGAAAGTTCCACCGTGATTAAGGTGCAGCTGTGCTTCACGGAGCAAAAGAACATAAGCGTCAGCATTCCTTGCAGGATCGCACAAAAGTTTAGAACACTTAGGCTAGATATTAAGGGGGAAGGATACTGCCTCGTCCCCTTCGTGAAGCTCGTCGATAAGGGTGAGCTCCGGGCACGTCACTAACAACGGTCGCAGACGTTCTTTTCTTTGCAATATCAGTCGTTCTTCACGCCCCAAAGTTGTTTGGTCTCCTGTCTTTGTACTGCTCCCAGCAAAGCATGAAAATCAGGCACGAAGAAAACCTGTGCTCTTGTCTGTGTACTCAGAGGCCGAACGACCCCTGCAGGGGACTTCAGAGCGTTTCGACTTCGGGTGTGTACTAGCGGGGCAAACTAAACAGGTCATCTTGCGGATAGGCAACAACGGAAAGTATGACTTTAGCTTCAAGTGGATAACAAAAGACCAGAAAAAAGGCGACAGTCCCAGGCGTATTACGATCCAGCCAGCTGCAGGTAAGCAGCCAGACGGGCTTCATCACAAAGTGCTTGCTTGACTCATTCCCAGATGTGCGACTCTAGCAAAGTAAGTAACAATGCTCATTAACAAATTTAGTCAGCGTCGCGACCTCTCACCAAGCCTCATAAAGACACCTTCAGATAGCCTTTTGTACCTTTCTCACATCAGATGCAACATTTTCCGTTCATGGTATGACAAAATAGAAAGGTTCAGCTCACAACATGCCACCCCAGCACTGCTCTAAGCGTTCACATGCCTTCACAAAGCTATAAAATGGTGCATTTACAATCCTTTCAACTAGTGCCCATTCAAATGTGTGCTTGCACTCCGTTTGGAAGCGAGATTTTGCACGCCAGCCTAAAATGTTTTTGTTGCAGTCTACTTGCCAGAACCACTGCATCCCGTTGTGTGTTCAAGCTGTATTGCCGTGCCTTTATGTCAGGGTTTGTCCAGAAGGGACAAGTGTTTGATTGCACAGCTACCTTCATCCCGGACGCATCAACTACACTGCAGTCTTTGCAAGCAATATGCGATGTCCAGGGGAAAACAATCTGTAGCCTACTGCTAGTTGGCTCTAGTACAGTCCCCAAGGTTTCCTTTTCATTCACAACACACGATTTTGGAATACTGTTCACACCGGATACAATGGATGCGCATTTTGACGCCATGCCCCTTGCACCGCGGATATCGTCTAGAGCTGTTCTGAAGATAACGAACACAGATGCCCATCACGAATGCTCCATCTCATCCTCGTTCTCGCCGACGCCAATCTTTGACTTTAAACCAGTACAATTTCGTTTGTCCCCTGAAGAGGTTATAGAAGTCCCAATTACTTTCAGCCCTCGAGAAGCGAAGTTGTACCAGGCTAAAATCCCATTCTTCGTCAACGACCAGCCCGCTGCCATGATACAAGTCTTCGGAAGGGGTACTTCCATCAGGTGTGAATCTCCATTTACGATTGTGCTACTGTAAAATTAACCCTGACAAAAGATCCTAAAGATCCTGACATATCCGATTCTGCCATGAAACTGCACCATCCTGAACAGGAGGTGCGGACCCTCTATTCAAAAGGAAATTCGTGCGTTATCTTCCTGCCACCCATAGTCACGGAGTACTCATCTGCTTAGTCCAAGACCAATATGCTCATCTTCTGGCAGGATGGAAGCACAAGGCACGGACAACGGCGTCGTTAAGCTTCAACCAGTGCTGCGCGGAAAAGGCTCACGCCAAGTCATCCGCATCATCAACCATTCTAAGAAGCCACTATCTTTCTATTTAAAGAGCCCAGATGGACAGCTCAGGTCTTTGAGCTAATTACGGCTGACACAAAGTCTAAGTTGTCGCATTGCGGCATAATGTAGCTCTGCAAGGGTTCCTCTGTGACTTTCGGTTCATTAAAAGCTTCCTTTGATTCCTTGTGTCATTCCCTTTGTGTGCATTCTCAGTGCAAATGGTGTCAGCTGGAGACCTCACTCTTCACCTTCATCGATGATTAAATTGCTCCCAAAGCAAAGCATTTCGGCTGAAATTCTGTTTCGACCCACTGCAGCATGCAAAGAGTTCCAGTTACCTTTGGTCGCAGATTGCCAAATTGAAAGCGTTCATGGTCCCCAGACAGTCCCGGTTTTCCTGTGCAAGATATCTGGAAAGTGTTTCGAAGCAGAGGTGAAAATTGATGATCTAGTGAAATGGAGATAGTCGAGTGCATGACCGATGTGCATTTGCAGTGCTCACACAAATCTTCCTACATCAGAGGAACTGTCAGCAGAAAAGGGTGCGGGTGATATATTTCCTCTATTGCATTCTGTGTGTGCCGTTACTTCAGCTTCGACTTCGACCCCCTTCTGTCGCTTTTGGACAAGTTGTTGTTGGCTCTTGGGTATCTCGAGATGTGCTCCTATCCAACATTGGGGAGTTGCCAATGACATTCCGTTTCTCAAACTTGGATGCATATCTAGGATTGATAACTATTAGCCCATCCCAAGGGACGTTACAGCCGCAGGCCGACCTTCCCGTGACAGTCACGTTCCGTCCTACGAAGGTAATCAGCCAAGCACTACACAAAGCGAGAGCGGTAGACAGGAAAAACAGCATTGGCCAATTGCCTGACCCATTTGCTCAGGCCGTAACTAGATGAAGGAACCCTGCTCCGAATTTGCCAAAGTTGTCTGAATGTTCGCGCTTCATGTGGAGTGATGGCAATAAATATGACATGGCTTACTGCGTTACCACTGTCTGGAGTGCTCCTTCAGGCCACGGAAGAGCTGGAGATCAAAGATATTCTGTGCTTTGGCAATGCTATATCCAATCTAAAAGAGCCAGCTACAGAAGTGGCGCGCATGCAGTTTCCAGTGACAGGCCAGGGCATTTGCTTGCCGCCCGATGCCATTCACGTGGTGAAGTTTGCTACAAGTGTTCGGTCCCCAGTTACAAAAACTTTCTATTTAAAAAACACAAAAAAAGTGGAATGGACGGCGACGCCAACCATTTCGGTAGAATCCCCACGCGATATCAACTATTTCTCTTTCCAGCCTTGTGGGACGGTCACAATACCTCCTCAGCAAAGGGTAGCACTTCAGCTTACGTATCATCCCTTGACGATGACTGCTGACTCAAGCTCCAGTCCTGACCAGCTTCTTACAAAACCAACTTCCCACTCACTTCCCGCCCTGCACTCAGCCAGCATCTTTTGCGCCCTTCCAGCTGGGGAAGCTTGTTGCATTAGGTACTTTAAGTATGCACATATTTGAGTATCCACATGTCCCGTATTCCTTGAAAGACCCGCATCAAGTAGATTTGAGGGCAAGTACCATGACTGCAAGAGCTTCGCTAGTGATTCCGAATTCACCCACTCCTTCGCTCGGTGGTTTGGCTGTAGCCAAACTACAGCCGTCTGCAACTTAAGGCTCATCTTCTCTCTTCAAGACGTGCCTTTGACTCTGAATACTTTTGTAGAGGCCGAATAAACCTATTTATTCCAGCGATATGTGAATGCCGTCTACTTTAAGGTCCTTTTACATGACATTTCTCTTTCCTCAGAATGATTGGAACCGCAACAGAGCCGACTGTTGAGCAGACAGTCGAGATAGTCGCCGCCTGCAAACAGCAGACCATTGTGAACATCAAGATAAGAAACTGGCTGGGTTCAAGACAAACTTTTAATGCAACTTACACAATCTTGCAACCGACTGGAGGGCATGGATTGCAAGTTCAGGTAAGCAAGCTGAGTGAAGTTATATCTAACAACAACCCAATTCATATTTCTTTGGAGCTATTTTGGAATGCTATGGGGGGAAGAACAAACATCACAATGTTTATCACTCTTGGCTCCTTAGCTCACCTCGCTTGCGCGCCTGATGATTAGAGCGCTCTCTCGAATTACGAAGCCCTCTTTTCCTGTGTAGCGTGCAAGTAATTTCTTTGCGAACGCGTTCAGGCTCCCACCTTCTTAGATGTACCAGGAGGTCAGATTAGGGAATACAGGTTCTCCGTCTCTGCTTTGAAGCCCTGTAACTCAGTGGTCCGCTTTCAATTCACAAACCCATCAACAGGGGATTTTACACTTGCGGATGCCAGAATTCAATTTAATGAAGGAGGCTCCATGGGAACAATCAATTTCAACGGGAATACTCGTCAGCTTTACCGTCACAGACTTGATATTGAAAATCCGTCGAGTAAACGCGCAAGCATTCAGTGCACATCGACTCACCAAGAAATTAGCTTCCTACCACAGTCGTTTGCCGTTGCTCCTCAAACAACATCGACAGTGGACATACTGATGAGGCCGACGGTCCCAGGGAGTGGAGAGGCAAGCGTTTTGTTAACTAGTGAGGAGTTGGGGTTATTCAAGTACCTTGTAAAGTACGAGATGAAGAACCCTGGTGTGGAAAAGCGTATCACATTTTCGGCACCTCTGGGGAGGGACTCGCAGCAATATGTTCGTTTCATGCATTTTGGGAAAAAGGCAACTTTGTACCAAATTAGTTTGGAATTTCCAGCAGAGTACTCACTTCCTCAAAGGCCAGCAAATGCACCGGACATGTTTATTCTTGAAAGCAAGGTGATGCAACTCCCAGCAGATATTGACGGACAGGGGATTGAAATCTGCGTCCCCGTCAAGTTTGTTCCTTCTAGACTGCAAGACACCAAGGCCATCTTGTGCGTTCGTGGCGCAGAAGGCCAAGAATACAAGGTAAAGCCTTCGAGATCCAACACAGGGAAGAGCTGCATCTGTTAATGCGCTGGATCATGTGTGGCCCTTCGACATTTCCAACAGCGTGGCTGTTGCCTTCGTGTAAGTTCTGCACAGGCCCTTTTGGTTGGACGTGCCACGGCGCCAGAAGCTCAGGGGCCAATAAAAGTGCCTAAGGGAAAAGGCCTTTTAATTGAATTTAAGAACCCCTTGGACACAGCAACGGAATTCGCAGCTCAGGTGTGGTTATGAGGGGCGGCGTACGCCGATATCAGCTCCCATTGTTCGTCTACAAATTCTGCGTGTCCTACACGAACAACAGGGTAGGCAGAACGTCACATAGTCCTCCGCATCTCATTTAAAACTCACAGCTTCCTGTGCTTCATCTTGCATCCCACGTTTTAGGTAGACCAGCCAGCTTTTTCGCTAGATAAGAAGTCCTTCCGCCTGGAACCGCGAAGATCCACGACTCTCACCGTTGCGACGAAAACTGAGGCAAAAGCCACTGGTAACGTTGCGAATACACTTGGGATTATGGACCGTCATGAACCCCTTAAGGTCTTAGCTTACCTTCTGACAGACGCCCGCTCGTAATGCAAATCCTACTGCAGGCGTTTGAGGCAATGTTGGTAGCTACTTGCTTCGGGTTTTCTTGTTTGACGATAGCACCACGCCCAATCACAGCTCACCCGCTTGAACCTTTCGCTACGCTGAGCTGTTCAGGCCGGTTGATAATAAGCGCCGATGCTCTTCCCGCATGGGTTATCTACCTCAAAACTGATTGATCAACTACATCCTCATCCCTGTTGCTGCCGACCATACCCAGCTGCTTGTGTTTCCGAGAAGCGCTGTGTAGGAGAGACGTTCAGATAGATATGTGTGGGACCATTCTTAAGCGATTCAAGCTCTTAGAAAGTACAGAGATCATTTCGCAAAACTGCAAAACTGAAGGAACCTGGAGTAACGCTGCCAGTACTGAAGTTCGCCAGTTCGTGCGCCCAACCCAGCAGACCTAAGGTCCAGCTTGCCATCCATAAGGTTGCATGGAAGTAGAACGATCGCTTCAGTTGGACGATCGTAATTTTTAATTAACTGATTCGCATGACAGGCGCAGCCATTCTCCTCTGCATGCTGCTCACCATGCAGCGCCTCTGGGTGCTGGAGCTCCCTAACTTCCACTGCCAAAAGCCCGAACATGTGAGCTTTGGAATATCAACCAAATCAAAAAAGCAAGTGTGCGAAGAGCGCCATCTACATCAGACTATTCGTCAGTGCTATAAGTAGTTGCGAAAAGCCTGAGCCTGGAATGGAAGCGGCAACTAGTGCGCAGTTCCAACATATATTGGAGCTATTTCAAAGCGTTTGTTTCCTGGAAGAGGAGCGCACGCAAGAACTACTCAAATGAGTCTGTACCACACGTGCAGGTAGTTAGAAGGTCAGACAGGCATTCCAAGGGCCTCAAAGCTGGTCGAAAAGCTAGTTCCATGGAGATGTGACGCTACCTTCAAAGCATTCTCTGACTCAGTGCAGATAACGACCTAAGCACCTACAAACACATTTCAGTATACACAACTTTGACGGCCGCATCCTGCCGTTACACGACCATATGCTACTAACCCTCCCTATGCGTATGTTAACCTCCGTGTAAATACGCTGACCTCCGTGTAAACAACGCAGTAAGTTACCAAAGTTCGCTCGTAATGTGGTGCTACTAGCCTGCAGAATAATTGCGTGGCTATCTCATCAGAGCCCAAAGTAACTGGTCATCAGCTTCCTACGAGGGTAGCACATGGCCTCAGTTCCCTAGCGTAATCACCTAACGCCATTCCCACCTCTAGTCTGCGAAATGCACAATTGACTTAAAATGCATAACTCCTGCAAACGCCTCCTCACCATCGTGGTTCCAGTGCCTGCGGGTGGATCAATAGCGACCACGTGAACAGTACCATATTACGCAAGCAAGTGAACGAAGCAAGGAGCACTCTGCTACATGTGCGGGGTACAACAGCTCCAAAATGAATGTTTTTCCGGACAGCGCCAGCACGGCAACTCTACCTCCACATCTCAACTGGGGAAAAGGAATTTCCTTCAGTGTGGCCAACCCCTACGATGTAAAAAACTCTTCCCCCATACGAAGCTGCAAGCAGTCTTATTTGGCAGCGACATCCTCGCTATACTTGCCTCATACAACCCTCAGTACTTACAGCTGTATAATGTCCCCACACCCGAAGGAGCTGTCGGTTTATCCTTACTAGCAGGCCAACAACTCTATAAATCACCCGTTAAGGGATTCGATGTCCCTGGACCACTGGAGTTGCCTGGCTCTGTGTCTTGCTCGCCTGTCGATGGTGCACTGGCTCCAGCGCCACTGTCAGTAGCGACAACTGGATCGGTAGGTGGAGGGAACTGCAGAGGCGTGTCCTTTTCGGGTTCTGGCGGCTCTTCTGTGTCTTCTGATGGTGAAGGGAACGCTATAGTATCCACCTCCGTTTCACCTGGCTGCTGCTCGCCACCGTTAAGCTCTGGAAATCCAGTAGGCGTTGATGGAGCGTTTGCGTCAGCTGTAGGCAACTTCTTAAGCAAAATCTTAAGATTCTCAAAGCGCTCCTGGTCCTCATCCTCGGGAGACATTGCCACAACAGCTACGTTTGAGATCTCGCAAGGGGTTTGCTTCGCAGACACCTTCACAGCAGCGACGGCACCTTCGAGGCTGCCCCCAGCATCACGGACTGCTTGCCGCGTGACTGGGTCAGTGTACACCCGAAATGATGTCTGCTCCACGGTTTGTCTAAGCTTGCTCGGGCGTAATTCATAAACCAGAGAAACATCGAACCCCCCGGGGGCCGGAGATATCCTACATGTAAAAGCCACTCCTGTGTGATGCCCTGAGTGATACGGCAGCGTAAGTCTAGTCGTGTGATATTCTCCACTCTGTCATGCCGCGA